TGGCCATGAGTACGTAGCTGCTGCATTTCTAGGCTCGACAAGATAAGGACACCTAGCCTTTATTTTTTATTTTTATTTAAAAATTTTTAAAATTATCAATTCCATATTTTCTTTCTCCCTCTACTTATATATATGGTCATGCAGAACATATTTCCATATTAGCCATGTTGTAGGGGGGGAAAGGCAAGAAAAATAAAGAAAGTGAAAGGAAATATGCTTCCCTCTGCATTTAAGAGTTCATCAGTTCTCTCTCTGGAAGTGGATAACATTTTTCCTTTTTTCCTTTTTTTTTTTTGGTGAGGCAATGGGGTTAAGTGACTTGCCCAGGGTCACACAGCTAGTAAGTGTTAGGTGTCTGAGGCCAGATTTGAACTCAGGTCCTCCTGAATCCAGGGCTGGTGCTCTTTCCACTGCACCACCTAGCTGCCCCTGGATAGCATTTTTCTCATTAGTCATTTGGAACTGTGAAGGATTATTGTACTGATTAGAGTAGCTAAGTCTTTCACAGGTAGTTATCATTATAATATTGCAATTATTATGTATGATGTTCTCATGGTTCTGTTTACTTCGCTCTGTATCAGTTCATACAAGTCTTCCCAGATTTTTCTGAAACCATCTCTTTCATCATTTCTTATAGCACAGTAGTATTCCATCATAATCATATGATTATGTTCAGCCATTCCCCAGTTGATGAGCATCCCTTTATTTTCCAATTCTTTGACACCACACACACAGACACACAGACACACAGACACACACACACACACACACACACACACAAACTGCTATGAATATTTTGTACATATGGATACTCAGTCTTTAAAAAAATAACTTGTTGGTTGATTGATAGATTGGTTATATAATCTAAGGCCTAAAGGTACCATGGGCAAGAGAAAACAGAGTGGATTGCACTGGAAATAAAGGACTTAAGCCTGCCTTGAAGGACATTTAAAAACTTCATTCACAACCAGGCTGATTCACAAGCTTTCATCATCATTCACAGCCTTTCCCTTCACACCCTCTTCCAATCTTTTGTACCCTCCCAAACAAGCAAATACCCCCAACCTATAAGGCCAAGTACAAGGCCAAAGAAGATAAGATCTGGCCTCCCTTGGTGGTCCCTGGGGAAGTAGCACCTAAATCCAGACATCTTGCCCTCACCTCTTCTTCAGTCTTCAACCAAACCCACTTTCTAGGTTTGGCTTCTAGGAAATCAATCAATAAACATTTATTAAGCACTTACTGTATTACAGGCACTGTGCTAAGCTCTGGGGAACAAAAAGAAGCAAAAGACAGTCCCTACCCTCAAGGAGTTTACAATCTAATAGGGGAGGCAACATGTAAACAAATATATACAAAGCAAGATATATAGATATATATACATATATATGTATATATATTATATAGGAAATAATTAACAGAGGGAAGGCACTGGAATTACAAGGGGTTGGGGAAGACTTAGTTTGGAAGGTAGGATTTTAGTTGGAATTGAAAAGAAGCCAGTCAGGGCAGCAGTTGGAGCAGAGGAGGGAGAGTGTTTCAGGCATGGAGGGTAGACAGAGAAAATGGCCAGAGAGCTGGAGTGTCTCATTTGTGGAGTAGCCAGGAGGCCAGTGTAACTAGATCAGAGTACATATCAGGGAGTAAGGTCTAAGAAGACTGGAAAGATAAGAAGGTTTAGGTTATGAAGGGCTTTAAACACTTAACAGAGCATTTTGTATTTGATCCTGGAGGCAATAGGAAGCCACTGGAGTTTACTGAGTAGGGAATGACATGATTTGACCTGCACTTTAGGGAAATCTTGTTAGTGGCTCAGTGGAGAATGGATTGGAGTAGGGAGAGACTTGAAGCAGGCTGACCCACCAGCAGGCTATTGTAGTAATCCAGGTAAGTGTCAGAGAGGAGGCGGGGTATATGCAAGAGATGTTGCAAAGGTGAAATCAATACGCCTTGGCAACAGATTGGATATAGGGAGTGGGGTGTGAGAGATAGTGAGGAATCCAAGATAACTCATAGGTTGTGAGCCTGAGGGACTGGGAGGATGGTGTTGCCCTCTACAGTAATAGATAAGGGAGAAGATGAAGAAGGTAGGGGGGTGGGTTTGATGGGGGGTGTGGGGATAATGAGTTGTGTTTCAGGCATATTGAGTTTAAGATGTCTACTGGACATCCATCCACTCTGAGATATCTGAAAGGCAATTGGAGACACATGATTGGAAGTCAGCAGAGAGAACACATAGCCCAACCATCTGAGATTTGTGCAAAGGATGACAGGAGAGTAGTAGTGATCTCAAAAAGTAGCCCTTCAGGGGCAGCTAGGTGGCATAGTGAATACAGCCCGGGCATGGGAGTCGGGAGGATCTGAGTTCAAATCCAGCCTCAGACATAAAACACTTACTAGCTGTGTGACCTTGGGCAAGTCACTTAACCCCGTGGCCTAACCAAAAAAAAAAAAAAGTAGCCCCTCGGTCTCATTCACTACACCCTTACCAGGAACTGAATTCATGTTGGCAGAGACATAAAAGGGATGTTGTCTAGAAATGGAAAGTTTTATGTTAGAACAAGGTGACTAGGGAAGCGGTCTGTAGGGGGCGGTCTGATAACTCTCATTTGCTATTAGAGACAGAGGTGGCCTCAGAACTAGAAATGGATCTAATGTGGATCTGGTTTCTATCGATGGTCATTGCCCTTAGTTGGTTTCCTGGCCATTTCTGAGGAGCCCTTTAACCTCTCCTGCCACCTACAAAAACACTTGGAGCAGTGAGGTCACCACCGAGGAGACACAAGATGAGAACTAGGGGAACAGACATTCATACATTAGGGAGGAGTTGGGCCAACCACAAGGGACTGAAGTTCTCTAGGTACCAGACCTACACAAAATCTTATTCTTTGTTTTTTTATGCACAGAAATTCAACTCTTGATAGCTTTTTCTTTTTTTAAATTAAAATTTTTCTTTTCCTCAAATAATAAAAATCTATTTTACTCCTCACCCCTACTGGAAACAGAACGAAAAAACAAAACAAAACCATTGTAAAAAATATACATAGTCAACAAATTCCCACATTAGTTATGACCAAAAAATATGTCTTAATCCACACTCTGTTATCCATCACCTCTCTCTCAAAAGGTGGGGAATATATTTCATCATAAGTCCTCTGTAATCATGGTAGGCCATTGCACTGATCAGAATTCTTAAGTCTTTTAAAGTTGTTTATCTTCACAATATGCTGCTATTGTATAATGTGTCCTGGTTCTGACCACTTAACTCTGTATCAGTTCATACAAATGCTCCCAGGTTTCTCCAAAGCCATCATTCCCATCATTTTGAAGAGGTTTGGGGTAGAGGTTAGGGGTGCTGAGACCCCGAGAATGCCAAGGCAGAATAGCCTTTAATGAATTCACACACTCAAGCCTTCTTTAAGTTAAGAGACAGTTTATTCTAATGCCAATAGAAGTAGACAAAGTCCCTTTGGGAAACTTGCACCCTAATGAAGGTAAATCTAAAGCTTATGTAGAAAAAGGGCATGGAAAGGGAATGCCAAGGATGTTAATTAGGTAATCTAAGGGTCCAAGTGTCTGTAGAAGCTATGGATGGGAAAGTATAGGGAGTATACCAGACATTGAGAGACATGTCAGAGGCATGGCCTTGGGAATCTGGTGGGAGGGAGAGTCCTTGGGCAAGCCAGGGATAAAAATCCTTGGGCCAGGCACCCTTCTGTCTGTTCTGATAAGAGAATGTGAAAAATTTCTCACAGGACAGAGGCCTACTGAGAAATTGGGAGGCCTCCAGAGACATGGTCTTAGGGCTGGGGCCTGAGACCCCATCAATTTCTTATAGCACAATAGTATTCCATTACATTCGTAGGTCATATTTTGCTCAGCCATCCCTTAATTGATTGGTATGCTGTTTGTTTCCAGTTCATTTGCCTTATAAAAAGAGCTGCTAAAAATATTTTTGTTCATATCTACTGATGTCTTTGGGGTGAAGGCGTATAGTGGAATCACATAGTTCAGTAACTTTGGGAACAAATCCACTCTGAAAACTTCCCTACAAGGGCAAGGAGGGTCAGGAAATAAATATTTATATAGCACTTGCTGCTTGTCAGACACTGTGCTAAGTGCTTTACAAAAATTATCTCATTTGAGCCTCCCTACAACCCTGCAAGGCTGGTGTTATTATCCCTATTTTACAGTTGAGGAAACTGAGGCAGACACTACCCAGCTGCACAGGTAGTGATCAGATTCTGCAGCAGCAGGGAACCTAATTTATTCTGATTATATCATTGTCAGTTTCCCTGGTTCTGGGCAGGGGTAGATTTGGTGGTTAAGCCATACATGGTTCTGCCCTATGGTAGATTGGTAAGAGCAATGTCCCTTAGCTCTTGAGCCTTTTTGCCCTGGGGCTGCAGACAGTTGACAGCTATGAGATTCTGAGCTGTTAGGTGGTGCAGTAGACATAGCATTGGTCCCAGAATCAGGAAGACCTGAGTTCACATCCTGCCTTAGTCATTTACTAGCTGTGTGGCCCTGGGCAAATCATTTAAACTCTGTCTGCGTCAATATCCTCAACTATAAAATGGGCAAAAAAAAAAATAGTATTTACCATCTAGGGTTATTGTAAGGGTCAAATGAAATATTTGTAAAATACTTAGCACGTAATAGGCCCTTAATTAATGTCTTCTTCCTTCCTTTTTTTCCTTCTTTACTTTTTTCCTTCTTCCTAGGGGTCCCTAAGCTTGGGGGGTCCTTTATAAAGCCCACGGAGGACCAGAGAGGGAAGCCTGTTTTGGGGGGCTCCCATGGGGCAGCCCCAGGTAGGGGAAGCCTCTCTACCTTTTCCCTAATCCCAGGAGTTAGCCTTAGACTAACTCAAAAGAGTGTCTGAGACTATCTTATCTGTAAAATGAGAGGATTGGACCAGCTGACCTCTAAGGTCCCTAACAATTATAAAATTATGATAATGTGATATATGTGTTTGTGTGTGTGCAAATCTCTCCTAGGAAGCCAACGGTCCTTCTGACAGCTATGCTGCTGTAGCCCAGGCAGACAGGCTGAGTCAGGAACCAGAGAGCATCAGAAAATGGAGAGAGGAGCAGAAGAAACGGCTGCAAGAGCTGGGTGAGGGTAGTCAGGAGCCACAGGGAGCCTGAAAGTTTTGTCTGTCTCTGACAGGAGCACTGAGGACCTTGGAGGGGATGGAGTGCTTGGATATACTGGGTGGCTCTTCTATACCAGGCCCATTGACCTGCCCTGGGAAATTGGGGGAGGACAAGAAACATGGGGAGGAGGGATTAGGAGAGGGAAGACAGGCCTTAGGAGGTACCCTTCAGCTGCTCCCTGCACTTAATCCCCTGTTTGGACCCCAGATGCGGCTTCTAAGGTGACTGAACAAGAGTGGCGGGAGAAGGCAAAGAGGGACCTGGAAGAATGGAATGTGCGACAGAATGAGCAGGTGGAGAAAAACAAAATCAGCAACAGGTATGAGGCATGAGAGACATTTGGGGAGGGGGCTTAGGGGGGCAAGGAATGTTTGAGAGGAGCAGGATTTGGGAAAGGGCAAGGGTATATGGGGGAAGGGATAGGTGGGCAGGGAGGTATCTCAAAGCTGGTAGAAAGAGAGGGGTTTGGGGGAGCAGGAAGTATTTGCACAGGTGGAAGTATTTGCAGAATTTGGGTAGGAGGGCGCAGTAGTAGCTGGGAAGGCAAGGGATATTGGGAGGATTGAGGTGGGAGAGTAGGGAGTATTTAAGAGAGTGAGGGCAAGAGGGAAAAGAGTATTCGAGAGTAATGTGGGAGAGTGTGAATGGGAGAGCAGAATATATTTGGGAAAAAGGGGATTTCTGGGAGGATAAAAGGTATTTGGGAAGGCAGAGAGAGAAAGAAAGAGAGAGAGAGAGAAAGAGAGAAAGAGAGAGAGAGAGAGAGAGAGAGAGAGAGAGAGAGAGAGAGAGAGAGAGAGAGAGAGAGAGAGAGACCAACCCACCTAACAGGTGGCTTTCTATCCTAATCAGAATAGCCTCCCTAGCCCTTCACCACAACTCAACTATATTATAATGGTCTTATTTCTCTCCTTAAAGACACTCACAGCTCTTCCCAGATATTCAACTGCACACCCTTTCCCTGCCCAGCACGGAGCTGGGAGCGGGCCACTGCTTATTGCTAGAAATGGAAAAAAGAGTTCCTAAGAACTTAGTGTGGTTGTGTAATGATCTCTGCAGGCCAAAGGCCCTGCCCTGTTACAAAACTGGAGACAGCCTAGGACCCTACTAGACCAAGCTGCACCTGTGGGGAGCTCAGGTGCATTGTTTTGTGGTCTCTTCTTCCATACCTATGCTTTGAGAAATCCTTGCCCTTCTTTTGTTTTTTCCTTCCTCCCTATTAAGGGCTATGAGTAGCCCTGCTGCCTTCCCAAATGGGCCTAGTGCTTCTAACATCTCTTGGGCTTCAGCACACTAATGTTGTCTTTCTTTCTCTTTAACCTTTTTGCCTGCCTCTCTTTCTTCTGTCATCCTGGCTTCCCTTGCCTAACCTTTCCCCTCAAGGATCGCTGACAAAGCATTCTACCAGCAACCAGATGCAGACATCATAGGTTACGTGTACGTGTCTCCTTTGTTTACCTGTCCCAAGAGAAGCTTGGGGTGGAGAGCAATGTGTTGGGTGAGGCTATCGATGAATGATCCCCTGGCCACAGCTGGCTGATGGTTCCCTGTGCCCCAGAGCCTGGGAGGCAAGAGAAACATGGCTGGTCTTAGTGGTTTTGGTTGGGAACAGCATGGAAAATTATAATTCTGTTCACAGCTGATGAAATCTAAGAATAATTGGGATCAAAACTGTGCCAGTGATATTATTGTCATAAGTAACTGCTGGAGGAGGAAACTCTCTCTAAAAATTTGTTGTTGTTCAGTTGGGATTTTCTTGGCAAAGATGCTACAGTGGTTTGCTATTTCCTTCTCCAGCTCATTTTACAGAAGATGAAACTAAGGCAAATAGGGTTAAGTGACTCGCCTAGGGTTACACAGATAGTAAGTGTCATATTTGAATTCAGGTCTTCCTGACTCCAGGCCTGGGGTTCTATCCACTGCACCATGTAGCTGCCCAAACAATTCAGAATGGCATCTTCTATGCAACATACAGTCATAGCTGCCTAGAATACTGAGAGGTTAAGTAACCTGCCAAAAGTCACACAGTCAGTATTAATCAAGAAGTGGAAGTTAAACCCAGGTCTTCCTGGCTGGGGGGGGGGAGGGGGGGGGCGGGTCAGTGTTTTGTCCACCACACCACATTGCCTCTATAATAACGATGCTGCTGATGCTGATTGTAATGATGACAAATATTGATAATAGTTTCCATTTTTATAGTACTTTAAGGTTTACAAAGTGCTTTCAGCTTTCCTCATAATGGCCCTGTGAGGCAAATTGAAGTTCCATGATCTTAAGGGGACCCTAGGGTAGAAGGGGTAGGGCTTTTTGGCACAGGAAGATAATCATGAAAGTCAAAGTGCAGCCCCATGGGAAACCGTGTATGATGCTCTTGCTTGGATCTAGAGGAGGAGAAAGCAAACTCAGGAGAGGCTGACCTAGGTAGGAGAGAGTCTAGGGTAGAGCACCACAAGGCTCTTCTTGGCTCTGTTCTGTTCAATATTTTTATCAATGACCTGGACAAGGGCATGGATGGAATGCTTAACAAATCTACAAATGACATAAAACTTGAAAGGAGAGATAGTAGTCAATAATCAGTCAATTAAATGCCTATATGTGCCATCAGGCAGGCACTGTTAAGTGCTGGGACAGAAAGGCAGGCAAAAAACAGTCCCTGTTCTCAAGGAGCTAACAGTCTAATTGGGGAGACACCAGGAAAACAGCTATGTACAGAAAAACGATGTACATGATACCTAGGAAATAATCGACACAGGGAAGGCACTAGCATGAAGGCTTCTTGTGGAAAGTAGGATTTTACGTGGGACATGAAGGATGCCAGGGAAACCAGGAGGTGGAGATGAGGAGGGAGAATGTTCCAGACATAGGAGATAGCCAGTGAAAATGCCTTGAGACGAAGTTTCTTGTTCAAGGAACAGCAAGGAGGCCAGTGCCACTGGACAGCAGAGTCCATATGTGGAGGTGTGAGGCTGAGAAGGCTGGAAAGGTGAAAGAACTGTAAAAGCCAAACAGGGAGCTTTATATTCATTCCTGGAGGTGATAGGGACCCACTGGGGCTTGCTGAGTTGGTGGAGTGGAGAGAGGTGGCAGGTGGATGTGGTCAGACCTCGGCTTTTGGAAGGTCACTTTGACTAGGCTGCATGGAGGATGGATCGGAGCAGGCAGACTAGCCAGTGAGCTATTCTAGTTGTCCAGGTGCGAAGTGATGAGGGACCAAAGTTTGTGGCAGTGTCAGAGAAGGAGGAGTATGGGAGAGATATTCTGAAGGTAGAAATCAATAGATCATGTCAACAAATTAGATACAGGTGATGACAAAGCATAAGAATGCAAGATAACACCCAGGTTTCTAGGTTAGGTGACTGGACGTCGGTACCTTCGATGCTAATAGGAAAGTTAGAAAGTTTGGGGTGGGGTGGGAGGGAAAATAATGAATTCCATTTTGGACATGTTGAATTTAAGATGTCTATAGGACATTCAGTTCAAGATGTCCAATAGGCAGTTGAAGATGTGAAACTGGAGATCATCAGAGAGCTCAGGACCAGATAAGTAGATTTATAGTGTTTAGAATGAGGTAGATCTGTGAGTCCTAATGTCTGCTTCAGTAAATCACAACTAGAGTATTATATCCAGTTCTAAGTACTTCATTTTAGGTAGAATATTGATAAGTTGGAGCACATTAAATGGGAAGGGCAGGGTACTAGGATGATAAGATTGGAAAACAAGACATATAAGAATTGGTTGAAGGAATTGGAGAAGAGGAGAACATTATCACCACCTTCAAAAATTTGGAGGGTTGGGGCAGCTAGGTGACGCAGTAGGGGCAGCTAGGTGGCGCAGTGGATAGAGCACCAGCCCTGAAGTCAGGAGGACCTGAGTTCAAATCCGGCCTCAGACACATAACACTTAACTAGCTGTGTGACCCTGGGCAAGTCACTTAATCCCAATTGCCTAAAAACAAAAACAAAAATAAAAATTTGGAGGGTTGTTATATGGCTGTGTGGATAATTGTTCTACTTGGTCTTGGGACAGAAGTAGGGGCAATGAGTAGAAGCTGTAGGGAGGAAGATGTTGGCTGGCTGGGAGGAAAAAATTCCTCTAACAAGTAGAGCTGTCTAAAAATGGAATGAACTGCCTAATGTTCCCCATCTTTGGTGGTCTTCAAGAAGAGGATAGATGACCACTTAAAAGGCATGGTAAAAAGGAGATTCTTTTTCAGGTGCATGTTGGATTCATTGCCTTTTGAGGCCCCTTCTAGTTGTGAAATCCAAGGTTATATGAAACAAGTAATAAGGGATTTGTGACCAGAAAGCCTTCTCTCAGCTTAAGAAAGCAGAGCACCATCAGATGGGAAGGATGTGATAGACTGGATGGAATAGATAATAGGCTTCAGCTAAGTAAAGAAAAATGCTTTTCAGGGTTTAGGGAAAATTTCTTGACAGGGAAAGCCAATCTCTGGATTTGTCTTCCTTTTAGGAGAGGTAGACCCAATCTTTGCCAATGAGATAAATGGTCATGCTTTCCAGAACCATGCTTACTTCATCTCCCAGATCATGAACATCCTTTATCTTATAGAGTGCTTCATAATTTCCAGAGGATGTTCACAAACTTTAGGTCCTAGCCAATGGTTCTGTGAGGGAGATAAGACAAGGAAAATTTTCATCATTTTACAAATGGGAAAAGCGTAGCACATAGAAATGACTTGCCCAGGCTCACAAAGCTGGTCAGGACCATAATCCAAATCTTTCCAACTCCCAAGCCTGACCTGGAAGGGTCACAGGATCACACACACACACACACACACACACACACACACACACAAAATAATCGGGGGTGGGGTGGGGGATATGGCTTGGATCTAATGTAAAGAGCAGTCTGTCAACAATAGAACAGGCGTTCCAGAAAGCACAGTGGATATAGTAGGCAAGGGACACCAGATAGAAACACTGCAGGGATGGATTTGCCCTAAATGGGTATTAGGGAACTAGGAGGGCTGGTCAGGGGAAAGACCTTTGGCTTAGATAGACTATAATTCACAGGTATTCTTTATAGCAAGAAGGCCCCCAAATCCCAAAATGGACCTTATAGAGCATCGAATCCAGCCCTCACCAGAATCATGTATCCATTGCCTATACTACTGTCCTATTAAGTGGTCATTTAACCTAACTGGACGGCATCCAGTAATGAAGGACCTACTCCTTCCTGCAACAGCTCATTCCATTTCTGGATGGCAAGTTTTAGGCTAGAAATATCAGTTGAAAAGAGAAAGTGACCTTGCTCATTTGGGAATAGGGCCAGATACCAATGTAAGGGCACACAACAGCATTGAGTCAGAGCCCCTGGGTTGAATACTGGCCCTTCCATTTACTAGCTATGTGACCACAGAAATATCCTTTCCCTTTTATGGACCCCAGTTTCCTTGTATATGAAATGAGAAGGTTGGAATAGATGGTCTATAAGGTCCTTTCCAGCTCTGACATTTGTTGATTTTGTGCTCCTACGGTTGTCAGCTAAGATGATTTTTACATATTCTTGGGCAAGTAGTGAGTGATACCTATGTCTTTCCTTCCTGCAGAGCATCAGAAGAGGCCTTCCTGAAGGAGTCTAAGGAAGAGGTACCTGGCACTGAATGGGAGAAGGTGGCCCAGCTGTGTGACTTCAACCCCAAGAGCAGCAGGCAGTGCAAGGATGTATCCCGCATGCGTTCTATGCTCATCTCCCTGAAGCAAACCCCATTGTCCCGCTAGGCACCTATTCAGGGTTACCAAAGAGTAGAGGGTGAGGAGGCTGAGGCAGAGGCCTAAGAAGAAGAGAGGAGGGAAGGAGAAGCAGCTTTGTTTGCTCTGGAAGCCACTCCTCCAATAGCGACAGCACAAAATGTTTAGTCAGTTCCCCCTCATCTTTTGGGGCAAAGGGAGCCCCCTCCCTGGCCTCTTCCTTTCTTCTTAAACTCACCTCCTGAGGTGTCACATCGACCATTGGTTTGCCAGGACCATCGAGTCCCACAGGTCTTTTATTTTTCTTGGCTTAAAGGTTGTGTTGTTAACTCTTTTTACACTTATTTATCATCATTCTTGTATCTTTGGAAGCTACAATCTATGTCAGGCTGCCTTTGTATTAGGTCCTATCCTACTATCTATATGACCTTTGCAAAGTCCTTTCCTTTTTCTAGGCTTTAGTTTACTCATCTGTAAGACGAGGGGGTTTCACTAGATAGCCTCAAGGTCATTTCTTGCTCTAAATCATATTAGTCTTGCCCAGCTCCATGACCTTCAAGGACAGTAGAATCCAAGAGCACATGTCAGTTACAATCTGTGGGACCCCAAAATAGAGCCTTCTCCAGCCCTCACTGGTATCCCCAGACAGCCGGTGTAGTGTCTCCACTTTTCCTTCAAGTATCTCAGTGGTCAGAGGCCATTCTAATGGGAAATGCTAGATCATGTCTGAAGTTAACTCTTGCAGATTCATTTTGCAAAAATGGAGAAATAATCAGCCAAGGTAGGGTGAGGAATCAATCAATCCATCAATCAATCAATCAATCAATCAACCAACAAGCATTTACTAATTATCTACTGTGCACCAGACACACTGTTAGGTACTGGGGAAACAAACACCTTACCCTCAAAGAGTTTATATTCCTTTAGAGGGATAAGATATGTTCATAGATAAATAAATACAGGTTATAGACAAAATAAATGCAAAATTACTTTGAGGTAGAAGAAATGGAAGTGGGGAGAATTCAAGGGAATGAAGGAGTAGAAGAGGCAAGAACAGTATGCTGTATTGGTGGTTTCCTCCAGAGCTTAGCTGAAAACAAAGGGTGGTCCTAGTCCCATAAACATTTTTGAGCAATTACATGTCCTACCAACCTGACTCAGAATTGCCTCCCCAAGGACTCCCAGAAAGGTCATGATTTAGAAGATTAAAATTTCTTTGGATAAGAAGAGGTAGCTACAATGATCAATGCTGGATATTCACTAGATATCAATTTACACATACCATTGCCCCCACTCCCTATTATACTGTCCATCCCTTAAATTTCCCCCATGAGGAACCAGGAAAAGCATCCTTTTTTTCCCCCCCCGACAGCCTGGACTATATTTGAGTCAAGGTATCTATTCTGGGCTTGATATTTTCTGTTCATTTACTAGCTAAGACCATTTCCACTGGCCAGTCTCCGACTGGGTGATAATACCAGTTTCCTCAATAACTGGTATCCTTGCCTTTTCCCTAGACATAATCCCAGCCTTCTTGGTAAGAGCCCAGGTCTCCAGCCTGAGCAGAACCTCAGCCTCTACCTTGGGTTCGACCCCTGTCCTTGGTTAACCAATCAATCACTAGGCATTCATTATGTATGCCTCTATGTGAACCAGGCACTGTGCTAGGTGCTGGAGACACAAAGATAGCTCATGCCTTCAAAGAGCTTATATCCTACCAGGGCAATAGCATGTTCACACACATGCAAATACAGGACACACACAAAATGAATACAAAGTCATTACGGAGCACTAACCACTGGAAGAAGCAGGAAGATTGTTGGCGGAGGACACACTTGAGCTGAGCCTTGAAGAGTGCCAGAGGTTCTGAAAGGAGGAAGTGAAGGGAGAGCATTCTCCTCATGGGGTACAGTCTGTGCAGAGGCTCAGGGTGGGAACAGAAGGGCCTTACCAGTGGGCCAGTTTGGCTGGAACAGAGATTATCTGAGGAGAGGTAATATGTAATCAACCTCAATTCACTTCATCACACGTTTTAAAAAGCAGCTGCTGTGTGCAAAACTGTGGTTCAAGCTGGGAGAGATTTGAAGGATGTGTGTACTTGACAGTTTAGAAGGCAGACAGAACACATTTGTAGACAGCAAGAATCCATGACATCTAGTATGTAAGGGTGAACAGGAAGATCGTTAACCAGGGGCCCAGGGACAGCTTCACGAAAGGACCAGTGTAAAATTTAGTACTTTTACAAAATCAAGTTTTCTAGGTGGTGGCTTTCTCAGCTAAGCAGATGAAAGGTGAGCTGCAGGTACAGGAGACAGCCACAGTGCTCAACAATCTCTCATTCACACTTCCTCAGAGACCATGGTGGACATCATTTACTTTTTTCTGAACTTTAATAAGCTTTCTTTGACCATCCAGAAACCTTGATTTCCAGACGTTGGGAATCAATGCCAGGCAGATCACCCTCAGATATAAGCTGACACATGATTGAGCTTTGAAGGCTGGACTGCATTTGAAGAGTGATCTTTGGGGGCAGCCTTTTCCCTCCAAGTCTGACCTTTAGCGTTTTGATAATTTTCTAGTGCTCAAAGGTTTCTCTCATACATTTCCATATGGCCATATCCTTGCTAGATGAAATGTCATCTACCATGATGAACTTCTTACAGAATTGGTACCAAATGGCCATTGGCAGCTGTCAGAAAATTCTGAAGAAAACTCATTCAAGCCCTAGCTTCCATCCATGCCTACCTTCTACTACCCTGATATAAATAAGCAGCTGCTGGGTCGTTATGGGTAGAAACACATCATAGAGAAAGGCAATTTCAATGAGTTATATCATTGTCTGGCTTTTGTCTCTGTGAGCCTATTTCAAATCTATTAAAAATAAATTGAAGCCAAAGAAAAAAATATTTCCCCAGATAGAACAAGGTCAATCAATCTATCAATATTAAGGGCCTACTATGTGCCAGGCATTGTGCTAAGAGCTGGGGATACAAATAGAGGCAAAAAGTAGTCCCTGCCCTCAGGGAGCTTGCAGTCAAACATGCAAACACATATATACAAACAAGCTATATACTGGATAAACAGGAAATAATTAACAGAGAGAAGCCACTAAAATTAAGAGGGTTTGGGAAAGACTCCCTGTTAAAGATGAGATTTTAGTGGAGACTTAAAGCCAGAGAAGTATGCTGAACTGAGGAGGGATAGGAAGGGGGGCAACCAGAGACGATGCGCAGAGCTAAGAGATGGAGAGTCTTGTTTGTGGTTCAGCCAGGAGGCCAGGTAATTTTCCTGTTTATCCACACTGAGTACTTGGCTGTGGCTGTCCTTCCACCCAACTCTGATCTCCCTGGGGCTCAGCAGACCAACAGATGTGAAGACTAGATAAGCTGAGATACAAAATGGCCAGGTATTACAAAGGCTTAGAGGTGAGGGCTTAAGCCAAACTCAGGTTAGAGGTCAGATGATAATCATGCTTATTTACACAGAACACTTTGATTTATTCCTTCTACATTTACTGAGTACATGCTATACGCACAGTTTTACATACAGCGTTAGTATTATAGTTTGGGTGACTCACGGTCTGGCACCTTGTAGACTCTGCTAAGAGGAAAAGACAGAACCAACAACTAATACACTGTCTTATGTGAAAGTACAGTCAGAAAGGTACCAAGTGCTATATAAGGACCCTAGGAAGTCACTCCCCTGACAAGACTCAGAAGACTTGAGGTGACATTTGATTTGTGCTTTATGTTTACAAAGCACTCTACATATATTATCTCATTTGATTCTCACAATGATCTCATAAGGTAGACAGTACAAGTGTTATTGCTTTCATTTTATAGGTGAGCAAACTGAGGCCCAGAAAAGGGAAGTGAATGCTCAAGGTCACACAGCTCCTAAGTAGCAGAGCTGCAACTTGAGAACCCAGGTCTTGAGAAAAGTGTTTTATAAGCTGCAAGGTCATATATAAATGTGAGTTAGTATTATTATTCTGAGTCCAAGTCTAATGTTCTTTGTATCTGACTGAGCTTTCTTTCAGACTGCTGATTCCTGGGGTGGGGTTGGGGTAATAGAATCAACTAAGGAAAGCAGATTTCAAACCCACCTTTATTTTTTCATTTTTTAAGCACTGTGATATTCTACTCCACAATCTTCTCTAAAATCTTCTCTTTTTTGTGAGATCAAAGTGCTTGTAAAATGTTTTCACCTTACAGCTATGCCTACCTCGTTTCTGCTTTGCAGCTTCCTCACCAATCTGTAGGCAGTAACAACACATGCTTAAAGGCACTCAGAAGTTTACAAAGCACCTTTCTCAGTCCTGTGAGAGGCAATACAAGTATTATACCATTTTTCAGAGGAAACAAAAGCTCAGTCAAGTGACCTGTCCATGGTTGCACAGCTAATATCAATGGCAAGATTCAAACTCAGATCCCTGTCTCCAAGTCCAAGGCCCTTTTCCCTATACTGTGCCATTTCAGAGAAATCACAGGATTTGAGAATGAGGAGGAACCTTGGATGTCACTTTGTCCAACGTCCCATCTACTGCCAGAATCCCTTTATAAATAATTACGAAGCTCTCCTATTTTCCCTTTTGAATAGCAATAGCAAATTGTCAAAGAATTCTGAGGGAAACTCATCCAAAGCCCAGCTTCCATTCTTGACTTCCTTCTACTACTCTGATACAAATTATGTAATATTTTGTGCAGCTTTTAACTGGTTCTGAACCATATTTATAAGAAAAACAAGCTAATTTCAAGGGGGAAAACCTCCTCCTCCTCCTCTTTAGGTGTTCATTGATAGAGACAGAGTTATCTTAATTTCTCAGTACTTCATGAGTTATGCTGGCCAAAAAAAATCAGCTGATGGACAACCTTTAAGGAAGGGAACAAGTCTCTCTGCACTTACCTAGGCCAGTCCTCAGGACAGGCCTCCATTAAAAACCTTCTCTTACTTTACCTGAAAAGAGCCTGGTGAGGGAAGTGGGGCAAGAGATATTATCCATGCTCACAGCACAGATGAGAAAATGGTTGCTCAGAAAGGTTAGCTGGTTTCCCTTACATCAGAAAGCTAGTTAGTGGTAGACTCAGGACTAGAATCCAGGTTTGCTGACTCTGAGTCCAATTCTCTTACCTGAAAGACTTCAGAGCCTGGAGATTAAGTCAGTTCCCCTGAGAAAGGTATCACTGTTCTCAAGGTGGATCCTCTGGACCAAATTCCTTCTCTGGATTTATTTTGGTAGGTTTAGAGATTTAAATCTGACAAGTACCTCAGGGGTCAGTCATCTAGTCTAGCACTTTACAGATGAGAAAAACTGAGGCCTAGATGATTTCAGATGACTCATGTAAGGGAACAAGGCTAGTAAGCAGAGCTGGGTTTCAAATCCTCCCACTCTAAATCCACTGCTCCATTCACTGGACCACTTAACTCCTTTGTAAAACAAGGGGACAGAACTAAATGTGTCTTTCAGGTTCTGATTCCACTGTGACATACTGTTATACAATGAGACCATATATAATTCAGAGAACTGAGGTTAAGGTTAAATCCATAGAGCTCTGTCAACCATTCTGGGCACATGGTACAGAAAAAGAATGTCTATCTTGGAGTAAGAGCTTGAGATTGCTTTTCTGACACTTATCCTTCAATTTCTCTGTGACTTGGTTTTCTCATCTGTAAAATGGAGATATCTATACTATCTACAGGGTAGTTGTGAAAAAAGTATACTGAAACACTCAAGGAATGTGAGGAATTATATATTTATTACTTATGTATTAGACACTGTATGGATAATACAATGAGGACTATCTGGGAGAAGCAGAAAAAGGACTGGCAAAAAAAAAAATTGAAGACAAATTCTGTTCTCAAATCCAAACTAATTTCATTCTTTAATGGAAAAAACCCATTACATTATCAACAGTTCTGCCTGAGTGAAACACAGGATTCACTCACTACCATTAGATATGACTTTAGCATAGGGCCAAGAAATTCCTCCAATCCCCCTCTGGAAAGCTGCTTGGGTCCCCTGCAAATGGTCACTGACTCTTTCAAGTAATGGGCCACTGGTCTCAGTGAAGCCTGGGTGATTTCATGGCTGAGACTACCAAGCCCCCCAGAATGGCCATCACTGTAAAGCCCTGAGCCACGATCCTGGTCCGCATCATCAACTGGGATTTCTTGCTGTTGCCTTGGTGAAAGCAGTAGAGTCCATAACATAAGGCTCCAGCTGTGGCCAGACAACCTGTAGGGGAACAAGCCAGGTGGAAAGAGGAAGTTCAACATCAATCCAAATAGTCAACCAATATGTATTTATTAAATACCTTCCATTTATCAGGTGCAGTGCTAGGGATACAAAGACAAAAATGACAAAATCCTTGCCCTCAAGGAGTTTAAATTCTATAGAGAAAGATAAATACAATTTAAAAAAGACCTAAGGAGCTTTGTCTCCTCTCTGTACTCAATTCTGAATCAGAGACTAGTCCCCAAGAGGCTTACAATTTCTTGAGGAGTGGGCAAGGGAGAGGGAGTAGTTATATATAAGTAACTATAATACACACAAAGAATAGAAGGAAAGACAAGTAATTATGAAGCATGGGATAGGATATTTATGGAAGGCAAAAAAATAAAAACCTCTAATTCCTTCCCGCCCCCCCCCAACGTCCCAGCTTTGTGTTTCCCAGGCCTCTTCCCCAGTTTAAGACCTTCCCTCCCAGGAATACCCTTTCCTGTGCTCTTATAATTGACAGTCCCAGGGCAGCTAGGTGGCCCAGTGGATAGAGCACTGGCCCTGAAGTCAGGACGACCTGAGTTCAAAGCCGACCTCAGACCAAACACTTGACACTTACTAGCTGTGTGACCCTGGGCAAGTCACTTAACCCCAATTGCCTAAAAAAAGAAAAAAAAAGATCGGGCACAGACCCCTCCCCGGTCAGGGCAAGCCGAAGACCTCGGTTCTGGTCTCGGTGTCTATCCAATTAAGGCCAACAAGCATTTACCATGTGCCTTTGATATTCCAGGCCTGGAGCCGAGCGCCTGGGATGCAAGTGGGGGGTCGTGGGAGCGGTGGGGGGGGCGGGGAGAATGCACTCCGGGGTTGGGGCCCACCCGACACACAAAGTAGGTGAATTAGAGGTGAGCGGGGATGGGAAAGGGTTTGGGGACACGGAGATGGCACTGGGGTGACCTTAGGGGTCCTCCCACCCCAGCACGCGCTCCCCGCTCGGCTTCCTGCCCCCTTGAGTCTCGTCCGCAGTCTCGCCCCCCCCTCCCCGTACCCCTCACCTATGGGCACCACCGGGTTCTCGCGGACCTTGCGTTGAAATTTGTCCTTGACGCTCTCATCCCGCAAACGGTGCGGGGTAGGGCTAAAGCCCTCAACTACTGGGGGCGTCGCGGGGTCAAAGGCCACCTCCGGAGCCACCGACCCAGGAGTTGACATCGCAGCGGACACTGACCTCTCGGCCTGAGGATTCCCCCACACTCTCCCCCCGCCCCTTCCTTTTCCGCTGCCGGAAACACTTGTGGTCAAAACAGTGGTTGGGAGGGAGCGGAACCTAAGGCCTCGGCACATGCGCAGTGGAAGACTGCGGGGAGGGTCCCACCGGCCCGGAGGACTACCCTTCCCAAGAGACGATCGGGGCGCTACGCTAAGCGCGCGCAAGAGCATGCGCAGAAAAGGCGGCTACGTCTGCGTCGCCGGCTGCGGAAGAAGAAGCGGGCGGCTTCCACGCGGTCTCCGGTGACTTCGGTTGGGCGCGTGTGAGCGGTTGGAAGCGGTGGTCTCGGAGTCGTCACGATGCCTAAAGCGAAGGGAAAGAACCGGCGGCGGAAATTCGGTTATAACGTTAACCGGAAGCGGCTGAACCGTAACGCGCGGCGGAAAGCGGCGCCTAAGATCGAGTGGTGAGCGGGAGGGCCGGGGCTGGGGGACTGAGGGCGCGGGGGCCGTGTGGGAAGCGAGGCGGGCTCCGCTCACGGCTTGCCTCTGCTCCCGCAGCTCCCACATCCGTCATGCCTGGGACCGCTCCAAGTCCGTGCAGCAGAACCTGGCGGAGATGGGCCTGGCCATGGACCCCAACAGGGCCGTGCCCTTCCGAAGAAAGGTACGACCCGGCCCCGGCACTCACGCAGGGCCCCCAGGACAGAGCCTCTAGCGGGTAGATCCTTCGGGCACCCCAAACCCAGCGGAGAACTCGCTTTTCGCCCTCTGTCGGCGGCCACTCACCCAGTCGACCCCTCACTCTCCCGTGCCAACTTCCCAGTCATTCAGCAAGCATTCATTAAGTGCCAGGCATGGTGTTAAATGCTGGAGGTAGGAAGAAAGGCAAAAACATCCCCTGCTCTCTGTTCTGCTTGCATAACATCTTTGAAATGAGTCTCCTCTTTATTCACCCAGCTGCTAACCTTGTTCAGGCTCTCGTCATCTCTTACCTTGACTGTTAGCTTCCTTAGTTTGTCTCCTATCTCCAGTCTCCACAGTCCATTCTCACACTTTCCAGTCCATTGCTTGAATAGTTGCCAAAGTGATATTCCTAAAACGTAGGTCTGATTATCATGTCACTGCCTTGTTCAAGAAGCTCCAGTGGCTCCCTTTTCCCCATAGGATCAAATACAACTCCTCTGTCCGGCTCCAGTTCAGCTTTCCAGATTTGTTACATATTAATCCCCTTCTCTTAAATTCCAGCCAAGTTGACCTGTTTGTTGTCTTTCAGACAGGATATTCTGTCTGCCATGTAGCCTTTTTACAATTCCCCATGCCTGGAATTGTTTATTCTTCACCTTTGCCTTTTAGAATCCATTACTTCTTTCAAAGTTTAGCTCAGATGCCATCACCTAGATGTGATGGCCATTCCTGATTTCCCCAGTTGCTAGTGCCTTTTTCCTGTCCATATCATCTGTTCCCCCCTCCCCATTATCTTGTATTTACTTTGCATGTTGTTTGTACCTACTTATTTATGTATGTTTTTTCCCAAGTTAAGTTTCTTGAGGGAGAGGACTCTAGCTGGGAGCCTAGCGTATAGGGGGTACTGCTTATTTATTGACTGGAGTGCTGAACTCGAATATCAGGTTGGCACAACCATTTAGCATCTAATTGAGAATATCTACATGAAATACATTAGTATACTCATAGCATGCATTCCCCCATTCCAGGCAAACTAATCCCTTGCTAGGCTCTGCACTTTCTCCTCTTCCAGTGGCAGAGGGGTTTGAGATGGATTTGTCATCTCACTGGGCTGGTGTCTAGGGATATGTCCCTAGGTCTGAAATGCTTTCCCAGTTGAATTTGCCTTACAAAACTAATTTAATGTCACCTGTTGTACTTCACTGTTTATGGTTCTTGCTCCAGGTATCAGAATTGATAATTATGATTCTGCCCCTGCCTCTTGGTAGTGAGCTTTTCCTATCCTGGGACTGACACTACTTCCCCAATACCTCTTGGAAGTGAGGCATTCTTTAATCCTCAGTCATAGTAGCCTCTTGGTGCCTTGTGGGGGATAGCCTAAGTCCTTCTTCATGCCTCCCAGGCTTGGGTTAAACCATGGCGCTATCCCAGGGCCAGCTTCTCTGACATTTATATCTGGTGGGAAAGTAGGCCTAGTGAGAAAAGCACAGAACTTGGAGTCAGGAGACCTAAGTGGGTTCTAGTCTTGGTTTCACTAACTTACTATATAACCATCAGCAAATCACTTTACCATTCTGGGCCTTGGTTTTTTATCTCTAAAATGGACTATATGGCCCTGTCACTAGTTCTTAACTCTTATTTTTTGCTAGTTCATACAAAAAAAGATTATATGTTTACTAGCTGTGGGACCCTGGGCAAGTCATCTAACTAACCCTAATTGCCCCAGAAAAAATAAAAAGACAATATGGGAAGCATCAGACTCTTCTGAATACAGATGTGACACACAGCCTTGATCAGCTTAGGTCTCCAGAAGATATACATATGGGACCTGAGGAAAAACTGTAAAAGGAATTGCACAATGTCAGAGCTGTAAGGGACCTTAGAAATAAATCATATGTGCTTTTATAGCTTAGAATATGCTTTTCAGATCTGTTATGCAGCCCTAACCTTTCTCCAGACCTCCATTCTCACGCCCCCAGTTGCCTGTCCTGTCATGCTTAATTTCCATGTGTCCAAAAGGTAACTCATTTTTATTCCTTAAAAACACTCTTCTCTTCATAACTTCCTTATTACTGTCAAGAGCACACCATCCTTAGTCATCTAGGTTTACAATCTAGGAGTCATCATCTCCTCACTCTTGGCAGCTAGGTATCACAGTGGATAGAGCTCTGGGCTTCACCCTCAGATACTTACTAGCTCTATGATTCTGGGTAAGTCACTTAAACCTGTGTCTGCCTCAACAATGGTAGGCACTTAATAAATATTTCTTTCCTTCCTATACTTTCACACATACCCCACCCCTGTCCAATCTATTACCCAGTCCTTTTGATCTGCTTTACAAAACATCCCACCTTCTGGAAGATGCTTTTCTTTGTCATTCTTAATGTTAGAGATTATCTCTAATCACGTATAGATTTTGTTTGTACATAGTCAATTGTTGTCTTCCCCCCATTTAGATTGTGAGCTTCTTGAGGGTAGGGACTGTTTTTGCTTTCTTTATGTCACCAAAGCTTAACACCATGTCTGGGGTATAACAGGCACTTAATTAAAAGCTTGTTTACTTGACTACAGAGAAATTGTCCTTGCTGCCAGTTGATTTTTTTTTTGGCTAGTCTCAGTATGGACACCCCAGCAAATGACTTTGGTGTGTTTGGTTAACGAGCAAGCACTCTGGGAGCTATTTTCACAGAATGATGGACCACTTGATTGTAGTTTCATCAATGGCTTTTGAGTTTTTTAAACACCACAAACATTTCCCAGTCTCTGCCGTGCAATTGTCAAATCATATTCCAGGCATATTTCTTCATAGACAGTGTCTTTCCTCATAGGTAACAGCAATGGATGTGGATGTTAGCAAGGAAAAAAAGCCCAACAAGATAGTTCGGAAGCCATATGTCTTAAATGGTAAGTATGTTGTTATGCTTACTTGGAATATATGCCTCCTATCTCCCATCACCCACCTCAGGGTGAGTCCGGAAATTGGTCTCCAGATTCAGAATTTTTAAAAAATTAAAGTAAACATGTATAGACAGCTGTATACACTTACTGATGTGGATTGTTTTAGAAACAAGATTGTAAGTCAAAGGATCTGAATTTGTATTTTAGTTTCACCCCTTTGCTAATATCACCAAGGCAATACTTAACCATCCTGAGCCTCAGATTTTTATTCATAAAATGGGGGGGAAATCCCATCCCTTTCCTCATCTGGCTGGGCTGTTGTGAGTTAATTCTGGATTCTAATACTTTAGAAATGAATCATTAAGCAAATGGAAAGGTTAGGTCTTGGCCAAGCACGTTTTGACAGAGGCTGATTGTGCTTTGTCATAATAGAATGGACATTCAGAAGAGTTTAAAATCAGAGGATTGAATGTGACCTAACTAGAGGCATTTAGGCCAGCTCTTTAACTTTAGACAAGAGGAAACTGGCTAAAGGAGGGAAAGTAATTTGCCTGAGAGCAGAGTTTGTGGCAAAGCTAGTACTAGAACCCAAGGAGTTCATAGGATGATAGAATTTAGCAGAACGGGGTCTAGATATCATTCAGTCCAACTTCTTTATTTTACAGATGAGGAAAATGAAGCTTAGGTTAAGTAGCTTGTTCAAAGTCACATAGAAAATCATTATTCTTCCTGCCAACTTACTGGGAAGGGGGGACAAAAAGGATGCTTAATAGTTTGAGTTATGTATTACATTCAAAAATTGGTATGTGGCAGTGGTGGGGAAGTGGGGGAAAAGACTGAATCTGGGTTCCTGGTGATGGTCTGGTTGCCTTGAGGTGATGTCTACTTACCTGTAGTTTTAGGAAGCTATATCCTATCAGAAAACAATAACTCCTATTTTTGTGGTGTTTTAAGGTTTTAAGAGTGCTTTCTGGGGCAGCTAGGTGGCGCAGTGGATAGATCACCTACCCTGGAGTCGGGAGGAACTGAGTTCAAATTTGGCCTCAGACACATAACACTCACTACCTGTGTGACTCTGGGCAAGTCACTTAACCCCAATTGCCTCACCAAAACAAATTTAAAAAGTGTTTTCATCACAGCAGTGTGAGTTGGTAGTAGAGATATCATTATCCCTGTTTTTCGATGAGGAAACAGGCTTAGTATATGAGTGACTCAACTCAAGATCACACAGCTAGAGGGTTGGAACCAAGATTTAAACCCACATTTGAATACTCCTGAGTACTCTCATTCTACCACCCTAATGGAAGATTAGCTATCTACTATGTGCGTAGGTTAGGTGGCCTAAAGAATGTTGATGAGTTACATGTTAATGAGAATGTAAAGGAAAAGACTGGGTTATATGTTTTTTCCCTCTCTTCGTAGACCTAGAAGAGGAGGCCAGCCTGCCTGAGAAGAAGGGTAATACCCTTTCACGGGACCTCATTGACTATGTGCGATACATGGTCGAGAATCACGGGGAGAACTATAAGGTGAGCATTCGATTGACCTCTTGGGTCTCTTAGGTCCTGCCCAGAGAAACTATTGGCCCTTTATCCCCAAGTGCCTGAGAATCCTGGCACTGTGGCTGAATGGCTTGTGTTAGTTAACATGTGTGATTTCCCTCTGAACATCTGTGTGAAAGACATAGTTTGTTTTGGCTTTGCTTGCCCTCCCCCATCCATTGAGAAGGCAAGGAATACAATACTCATACATATGGAATTATGCAAAACATATTTCCACATTATTTACTCTTGAAAATGATACTTGAGGAAAGGAGAGAAGAAGACATGGTTTGTTAAAGAGTGACTGGTGTGTATGGATTTTTTTTTTAAAGGAAGTCTATTCCAGCCCATAAGGTATATACGGGAATTGGCAATGTGATGTTACATTCTTTTAGGAATACTGTGCTACAGTAGCAAGTTGGAGGCACTCTGCTCAGAACAGAAAAGTGATCATTGCTGCTTATGAAGCACTTTAGGGTTTATAATATACTCTTTCCTCACAACAGTTCTGTGGGGAGGGCAGTATAAATTTTATACAGGAGGAAACTGAGGCTCTGAGATATAAGGTGACTTCAGAGTCATATGCATATGTTTCAGAATTTCTGATTCCCAGGTTTGCTTACTCTTTTAAGTCCAATACACTAGGCTGTCTCTTAGCCCGATGCTTCATCCATACCATAAAAAGCATGTGGCCCTCTTTCTACCTACTTCCTCCTTTGGCAAGGCTGAAATGGTCTTTTTCATTTTGGATTCTCCTAAAGTGCCTGAATTTGGGGTATGAGATTCCCTGGTAAGAGCCATCAGCTACTGAAATAACTTCTTCAGGACACTTTAGCTCTTTAGCAGACCAACATGTTAGTTGGTGACTTAATTCCTATATAGGTTTGGGCTTTACTTTTTGAAGAGTGGGTCTAGATGGAGGAAGAGAGATACAGAGCAAGAAGTAATCTCATGAAATTTCTGGATGATCTGCTTCTTTTTCCTCCTTAGGCAATGGCCCGGGATGAGAAGAATTACTATCAAGATACTCCAAAGCAGATCAAGAGCAAGATTAATGTATACAAGCGGTTTTACCCTGAAGAGTTCCAATCCTTTATTGATTCCCTGAAGAACAAAATGGAAGTAGAATGAAGAACCTGTGCCATAAGCCAGTTGTGTCTTAGCTAAGTGAACATTGTTGGAGGCCTGGGTGGTTGGTGGCCTGGAGATCTAGGTGGGAAAACACATCTGGTGAGTCCATACTTTCTTGGATTTCCCCCAAGGTTGTACCCAGTCTTTTCTTCCCAGCTGGTGATGGATCATAGAAAGGGGCTGTGCTATTGCTGTAAGAAGTAGATTTCAGGGAGTTGGAGAAGGGGAGGAGCCAGAACAAGTTGCCTTTATAGAAGGGATTTTTAAAAATTCGCTCTTTGAACATTGAAGCTCATGTGGCTTTGAAGCTTTCAAATAGTTGTCTATCAGTTACAGAATAAAAGAGGTCACGGGTTAAGATGGGCAATATTCCCCTGAGTCTGGGCACTCAGAAGTTCTTTCTGCTTAGTCCCCCGTCCCGTCCCTGTCCCCTGTTCCCTTCCCCCCCCCCCAGCTGTTAGAGCACCCTTCTAGCCCTTGATGAAGCTGTGTCTGGTCCACTGTACAGCTCTTTCCCTTTGGTTCTGCTCCATGGGGAAAAGAAGAAAAAAGTCTAATCCCTTTTCTACAAATCTGCCCTGTAGATGCCTGAAGACAGCAGTCATAACCCACCCACGTTTTCTTTCAGGCTAAGCATTCCCCAGGCCCTGTTTTCCCCATTTTAAGGGTGAGGCCCAAAAGCAGTGAGGTTATTTGCTTGGGACCACATAACTAGTAGGAAGTACTTAGGCCCTAAGAGTGAAATAGTAGTCTTCCTACAAGGCCTCTCCTTTTTATGTATTGTATTATATGGAACTGGGCAAGTCATTTGACCTCTCTTCTACACAGTTTCCTCATCTGAGAATGAGGCTGTTACCTATACCATCTGTCTTCCAGGGTAGTTGTAAAATAAGTAAAGTGCTTTGTATACCATAAAATGTTATGTAAATATCAGCTGTTATTTGTCTTAAGAGTTAAGAATAATGCTTTTAGTTTATACAGTGCCTTGCAATTTATAAAGCACTTTTCTAACAGCTGTTAGAAATTAGCTGGGATGTAGCTAGGATTGATATTCATATAGCATCACAACAATTAGCTGGAAAGAACCTCAGGTCATCTAATCTAATCTGTACCTGAACAGTAATCTCCTCACACTTCCTCAGGGGACCCTTCTCCTTGAAGATCAATAGCAATGGAGAAATTTACCTTTGAGACAACTCTAATTGTTAGGAAATTATTCCATTTATGGAACTGAAAACAGTGCTTTCCAGCCATTATTATTGCTTTTCCTGTCCTTTGGAGACAAAATAAGACTAATTCCTTTAACATATAACTTCTAAATTATTTGAAGAAAACAGTCATTATTAACCCAACCCACCAAAATTGTCTTCAAACAAACTGAGAGGGAAGGAATCTTAAAAGTAATCTACTCCAGTCTCTCCATTTTACAGATGAGGAACTGAGGCCCAGAAGGTCTGACAGTAGGAAGTGCCAGAGCTAGAATTTGAACCTAGGTTTTCCAACTCTGAGGACAGATTTGTTAACATTGAAAGTAAAAGAAGTTAAAGGATTTACCCAAGACTATGTACCTGATAAGAAGTGGCGCTGAAACTCTCCCCAAGGTTTTTGTTTCCAAGTTGCATTGCTTTTCCCATAATACCATAGTGTCTCTTCCAAACCAAAATTGTGTTAAATAAACTGAAGGTTTTTTTCTTAATAACATTTCTTTTATTTTGTACTTCTGACATTTAGTTTCACAGTCATCTTTTAGCCATCAATAATCCACTTTATGTACTTCCTTAGAAAAACTGTAAACATAAGCTCTTAGGTAGAAGACTGACACTTTACCTTTCAGAATTGCATGTTGGCCATTCTTTTTCTTAATGGGCTTCTATCCAGATAGCTCCTAAGAAGGGAAGGTTTGAGGTTTCTTCCCTCATACTTATGCTTGATCACCAAGTTAAAATAAAACATGTGATTCCAATCCGTAGAAATCTGAGAGGAAATGCTGTTGACCCTAACAGAGAAGGGATTACTATAATACTAGCTGACAACATTGAAAGTTTACAAAGCACTTTTCTTTCCTACATTACCTCCTAGTATCCTCACAACAACCCTTGGGGATCAGTGCTACAGATGGAATTATCACCATTTTATAGATGAGAACTGGCCCAAAGAGGTGACAAGACTTCCAAGGTCACACAAGTAAAAAGATTCATACCTTTGTTTTTCGAACCCAGCTCCAGTGTAGCCTAACTGTTGTATTAAGGTGTTGAGTTAATGACATTAATTAAAACATTTTTCAGTGCCTACCATATCCAAAGCAGTGCGCCTGTGTGTTGAAGCATTGTTTATTATACCATTTTCCAGTCTTCCTAGACCTCTAGTGGGTTGGGATACCAAGATAACACTGGTGTTTTGAAAGCCATTGTTGTGGTAGAAGCCAGACAGTTATGTCTGTCTAGTGTTTCTGGGCATTGAGATCTTTGTATCACTGCTGGCTTGTTGGAGTGAGTGAATCAAAGTCCTGGCCAGAAGAAGCTTCAGACATATCTGTACTGTTTCTTCTGACAAAGAACTAGTTTTCTAGACTTACATGGGGGCTGAGTGTGAAGAGTTCTCCTTGGAAATACAAAAATGTACATTATTTTCAAGGCTTTATTTAGCTTAAGCAATCATAAAAAGTCAATTCAGTTTCCCACACTGATGCCAGACTCTTAAAATTGAAGTCTCTTTAGAAGAAAAACATACACGTACTGTGAAAAAAGTTACCATTAAGTGCCATGTTAAAACTACTTTATGTGAAAATTTTTACATTTTTTTATTCCAATAAATATGCTTTCTCATGTTTATTATCTTCAGTTTTATAATCTGAGAAGGTAGGAGCCTTAGAGATTCTCTAGTTTTAGCCTCCTCACTTTTAGATTAGGAAACAGGGCCAAAGAAGTTAATCTCTGGCATCTCTACTAAGAGTATGGTTATATCCTGAATGCTGGTTATACAAATATCATTTGAAGAAAAAAGTATTCAGAGCAATATGCTGAATGAGCTGAGTTCTAGAACCAAATATGAAAGATCCTAGTCATGGGGAGCAATTGATAAATTGTTTAGACCATCAGTAGGCATTTAACCTTCCTAAACTGTTATGGTGGAAAAACAGTAGATCTGCAGTCACTGGGCCTGTGTTCAAATCCTGCTTTTCCTGTTCCCTATTTGTGTGATATTGGGCACATTCCTTCATTTCCTTGGGCCTTGGATTCCTAGTTTAAAGTGATGACATTAGATTGCATGATCTCTAGATCCTTTGTCACATTAAATCCTATATCTCTCAAGAGGTTTTTAATCTAGTTAAAGTCAGTCAAGACAGGGGCTCTGTACACATAAGTTCTTGATGTAGCTGCTGTCTAACAGCAAGGTAAATTTGGGATCAGAGAAGGGGGCATGCATATCTAGGCTGGATCCTCCAAGGCAGAAGCTATAGGGTAGGAGCTAGCAGCATGGAATTCAGGTAGTAAAAGGAGCTGGGTTGCCAGGGTTGTCTTTACAGCAGAATAGTTTGGGAGCCAAGTTCCAAAGGGTCAGATTTGAGTGAGAAAAATTATTTCTCAGAAGTAGCTGAGAAAGAAGCACCAGAACTAAAAGGCAGCTAAGAGTCCTTAGCAAAGAATCTTTATGTTCTTATTTTGTCCTGTTGGGTACCAGCTGAGATGAGGAATTTAACAATCTCCATTGTGAAGCACAATGATTAGCTATGAATCAAGGGAGGAGAGCGACACCTTAAAAAGAAGTGATAATGCTGTGATTGGCAAGCCCAGGTAACAATTCCCAGGAGCCTCTAGCTCTTCCATGCAGCATCATTCCTGAAGAATATTTCCAGTGAAGCTTTTAAAAAAATTCTCAAATGACCCTGACTCTGATTTTTTGGGTGATGAGAAAAGTATTCACAAAGTCTAACAGCAATATTGATTCCAAATATATTTATTATAGAATAAGGAAGCTATGGTACATAGGCTAAAGGAAAGGCAGGAAATTATTCTGATGGCTAAAGGACCTAGACAAACTCTTAAAATTGCAAAGGGCATTTCTAAAATCTTAAATAGATACTTGCCGCATAAAATGACCTTTTAAGATTCCATGGGAAATAAGACTTTTCTAAATGGCTAGACAGCTAATTAGAATTTCAAGTGGCAGTGATAATTTTTGTTTACAACAAAAATAGACTGAGGGGTATGATGAATAAGTATTCTTCTAGGACACAAACTTCCAAACTTACTAAGCCTTCTTTCACTCATTCTTGCCTCACTTTTATGTATCTTGCTCCTCTAATTTAGCTACATTGTGGAATTGAAGTTTATTTTTGTTACTTTTAGATTTACTTAATAAAAATTTACCTCCCTAAATTTCTTTTTTCTAAATCTAAAAAGCAAGGGAGTTGGATGTTTTTCCTGATGGAGAGAACTAAATCAAACTTTTTACCTGATGTGACTCATACCAAATTTTTTCCCCCATTACCTACATACAGAACTAGCTTTATATCTATCATCTATGTCAACACATATGAGTGGGGTGTGTGTGTATGCGTATGTGTGTGATCATAAAGAGACGTTAGAACTCTAGCATTTCAGAGCTAGAAAGGACCTAGAGATCATCTAGTCTAACCCATTTTGCAGATGGGTCCCAAAGAGGTCACAGGTACAGTTAGTGGTAAAGCCCAGACAAGAATTCAAGCCTCTTTACTCCCATACAAGTATTATTTTCATACCTTAACCATACTTCCAGTATGGTTATTAACTGCTTCAAAGGGAACATTAGCATGAATAAATTAAAATTCACACTGTAATTTGGCTTTAGAACACTTGATGATGTTTAGTAGAATTAACTATAGAATTTGTTTGCATTCCCTGAGAGTGCCAGCCTGACAGTGGCAGATAGCTAGTAGAGATTTTAAATTCACTACAAGTCCGTTAACAGTTGACACCATTACAGTATTTCACAGCCTTCCAAGGTCTAAAAGCCCAGTGGAATGATCTCCATGCCCTCTTGGGCAGGCCATTACATTAATGACATCCACAGTTTTAGTCATTTTGTCCTTCCTGGCCATGTCGACCACCCTTCAATATATAAATAACAGCACCAGGAAACATGATTTGAGTCTGGAATTTGAGCCTGCTTCCTGTAGAAATTTTAAATGGGGAGGTTGCTATCTTGGACTGAAGCTCAAGCGCAGTCCTGCTGACCTAATGGGATGATTTCACTAAGCAGTTTTCTGCCCCTGTGAGCCTATGTGGATAGATGCAGGAGAAGAGTTAATGCACAGTACATGGATAGCTTCACTCTTGACAGTCTGTAATAATATGCAAGACAAGATTTTAAAGTTGGGCAGAATCTGAGATCATCAGCCCTGCCCTTTAAAAGTTGATGAAACAGGCCTCAAGAAGAGGAAGTAACTTGTCTAAGGTCACACAAAGTAGCACAACTCTGACTCAATGTACTACCCAACAGCTTTTTCCATCATCTTACTAACAGTTTGTGCTTGTTTTGGAGTGTCACAGCCCTGAGGAAGGGAGCTGGAGAGATGGCGGGTCTGGCCAGGGTCATAGTACAGTGACAGGGAGACCTCAGCAAAGTGCCTGTTAGTCCACAAAAGTTAATCTTCTCCCCTGACTTCAGGTCAAGAAGCAAGTAAGTACAGAAGTTGGCATTTTTTTCCCCAGAACCTGCTTGGAGAACATATCCTCAATATCAATGTCACTGAAATAAGAACACTTTTAGACTACTACAGCCCTAGGAGGAGACTTGGAAACGTGTCGATCACAATAGGCCAGGGCCAGAGCCCAGGGAAGGATAGATGCCTAGAAGTAACTAGATGTGAACTGTTAATGTCATTGCCTCCAGGAGCCTAGGGAAAGGAACTTGGCAATCACTGTACCCTTGGTAGAGTCAGATCCTGGAAATGAAACTGGCATGAGCACTTCTTCCACTGGTCCAGATTTCAAACCTGTCGAGTTGCAGCCATCTCACATGCTGTCCATCATTGTCTGTAGATGCTCTCCCCAATGCGCTGAGGGCCTTTTTGAATTCTTTTAATATGTTCTGGATGCCATGTTCTTGCACCATAACCAGCCTACTTCTAGTCATACTTGTCCTCCATAGTAGACTCCACACCATTCTTCAAATTCATCACTGGTAATATGTACTTTTTTGTACTCACCACTTCACTTTTTGTCCTTTTCACTGTTCAATCTCCTCACTGTCCTTTGGGTCACTGGTACTTTTGATTCTTCAGACAATGTGGCATTTCATGATTCCCAGCCTTATAGCATCACTGGATGAAATGCTGGCCTTAAGAAGAAGGGCTTTTGCACTTCCCATATCTCTCCACACTCACCCATCCTGTCCTCTTTCTGCCATCTTGTAACACTGCCACCATGGTATGCATGAATGGATTGGCAGATGCTCTGAAAAATACCAGCAATGCAGAAAAGCGAGGAAAATGCCAGGTTCTCATTAGGCCGTGCTCTTAAGTAACCCAGTTCTTAACTGTTGATTGAGATCATTGATTATCACAGAGCAGGAGAATTCGTTGTGAACTTCATGGGCAGATTAAACAAGTGTGGTGTAATGAGCCCCAGATTTGATGTTCAATTGAAAGATCTGGAAAAGTGGCAGAATAATCTGCTACCCATCCCGTCAGTTTGGGTTCATTGTGCTTGCAACCTCAGCTGGCATCATGGACCACGAGGAAGCAAGATGAAAACACAGAAGGAAAAATCCTGGGATTCTTCTTCTAAGGGTGTAAAACATACATACAAATAAAATGCTCCAATGGACCCCCCCCAAAAAAAAAAGGGGGAGGGGGCTTTTACTGCAGCTAGCAGCTTGGGATCATTAAAAGTGCTGTAGTTTCTCAAAGGCAATCCCACTTTATCTTCGGTTCAGTTCTAGGCCCAGCTCTGTCCCTTTGCAATACCTACATGAAAACTATATACTCCCCATCTAACCACTAGTCAGACCCTGAAAATAAGCTTTCTTCATCCACCTTCATGCTAACCCATGAAGCAAATCAAACAGTGAATAACATAACACCAATAAATAATTGGGGAATTAGCCCTGACCTATGATTTCAGTAGTGTAAGGAATTTCGAGTCAGGAAACTTCCTGTACCAACACCTGTTCTGTAATTTGTAATCCAAGAAATGCAAAGCAGCCTAACTGAGGCCACATAGCCAGACTCAGTCGGAAGTGAGGCTTGAACCCTGGTTTTCCTGACTATCTGCTATGCCATGCTTCCTTAATAATAAAAAAATAACAGTTCATATTTCCATGGTGCTTTACAATTCACAGAACACTTTGCCCACAACAACCCCGTGAGGTCAGTAGCACCAAGTTCTGTTAAGCCTCACCATGACCCTGTGAGACAGGGGTTCTTTTGCCAAGGAAAGAAGCAATTTGCTTGCAGTCAGATGGATCATAAGTAACAGTTAAATTCGAGTCCAGGTTTTCTGACTCCAAATCCAGTGTTCTCTTATACCATAGTATCATTTATAAGCCACTTCCTGTATGAGATGGTTTGGCACTGTAGGCAGGTTATCCAAAGGGCCACTTTGTGGCCTGAGAGCCAAGGGCTCTGCTGAGAGCAGAGCTTAAAAGGGCTGCTCACTCTGGGGCTCCCTGAAAGGTGACCACTGCCCTAGTCATCCCAGATACAGTAGGCAGAGAAGGAAAGTATCCCTCCATGGATTTCTTTCCAGGGAGCCTGATTTACCCAGGAGCCTAAGGAAAAGAAGGAAGCCAACAGTATCTATTGAGCTCCTAAATTCTTTTCATTTGAGCACCAGGATTATGATTTTAGGATCAAGGTTCAGGATTTTATACCTAAAAAGAACCACTTTGGACCAACCCCTCATCTTACAGATGAGGACACAGGTGAGGTGAAGTGACTTCCCTGAAGGTCTAGATTGGAACCTAGGTCTTGACTCCAAATCCAGGGCTTTCAGTGATCCTCAGAAAAGCACCTCTCCAACCTGAAGGTTGTGGGCTGGGTGGGAAGGTGAGTGGGGAGCCCTTACCCCAGGAGGTATATTTCCAGTCAAGCTTGGGAGAGAAGGTCCAATAGCAGTGTCCAGACATGGTGAATGCTTGGAGGTGAGGAGCCTGGCCCAGCTGGGGGAATGCTGGCTGGCAGCAAAAAGAACTCACGCTGGCCAAAGGCTTGCAGGTCCAGTTCTTGCTGCAGCTGAGCCACACTCAAGGCCTCACTCTTGTCCTACAGATGAAGAGGGAGCCAAGTCTGAATGGCAATACTATGGCATTTGTCACACTACAGTTGGGTTACCCACAGAGGGCCTGTGTCCATTAGCCCTGCTTTGGGTGAGGGGAATTTGGGGAGGGCAAAACAGTAGAGTCCCTTAGTATGGATTCAACTCTTCTCTCATCTCCAATATCTACCCGCCCTTACCACCTCTTTCATCTTTCATTATTCTCTTTCTAACCCCCCACCCCTGTTACCTCCAGTCATTCTGGTGGTCCCTGCATAGCTTTGCTGATTAAATACTGGATAGTGGTGGGTCTTTGCAGGAGGGATTCTTTTCATTGGCTGTCCCCCATGCCTGCAATGCCCTCCCTTCTTACTTCCTTACTCCCTGACTTCCCTGATTTACTTCCTGACTTCCCTGGTTCAAATCCTAACCTTTTGCAGGAGACCTTTCCTGATCCACTTCCTTCCCTCCTCCCCATTCCTACCTCTTCTTCCAATCCACCCCAGTGCTTTCCCTCTGGAATGGCTTCAACAATTTCCATTGCACATATTTTATATATATATATATAATATATATATATATATGGAATAGCCTTCAATGATTTCCCATGTATATATCATGTTTTATTTATATATGTGTGTGTGTGTGTGTGAATATATATGTGTATGTATGTGTGTGTGTGTGTGTGTGTGTGTGTGTGTGTGTATATATATATATATATATATATGCCATGCTTCCCATTGTAGACGCTGGCTCTTAGATAAAAATGGGGGGTGGGGGGGAATCAGAGGATCTACAACCCAGGTCTGTTGACTCTAAGTCCCTTGTTCTTTTCCATTACAACATAGCTTTAAAGGATGCCTCAGCTTAGGGACTTTATATGAGTAGAAGGACTTTAGGACATAAAGATGGAAAGGGACCTTAAGACATCATCTAACTGAATTCTGTCATCATGTCCTCATCCATGATAGTCAGCTTTCCCTTCCCTATTCTCCTCACCCTTGTTCTAGAACTCCAGCTAGTTTAGGGAGATGTTTGTATTGGAATGAACCCTGAACTGGGAATCAAGAGTCTTTGGTTTGAATTCCCAGTACCATGTAAGCTTCTTGAAGGTATAGGCTGTTTCTCCTTTGATTTTCATATCCTCAACATCTAGCATGGTGCTTTGCATATAGTAGGTAATTAATAATTGTTGAATTTCATTTTGCAGATCAGTAAATGATCCCAAAGAAAGGAAATAGCTTAGTTTAGTCTTCTGAATCCAAATCCAAATCCAATGTTCTTTCCCTACACCAGATTCCATTTTAAACAAATGAAATTACAGTAAAATCTGTTGGCTTCTTTTTTAAAAATTATGAATTAATTAATTAATTAATTAATTAATTTTTTTGGTGAGGCAGTCGGGGTTAAGTGACTTGCCTAAGGTCACACAGCTGGTGTTGGCTTCTTAATAAGCCTGTAAATCTACTCTCCCTTCCCTTCATCCTTCAACACTGCTGCCAGATTAATCTTCCTTACGCAAAGTCTGAGCAAGTTAATTTTCCTGTCTGGGCCTCAGTCTTCTCACCTACAAAATGAGATCATCTCTAAAGTCTTGTTCCTTCTTTAAAACCCATATGTCCTACATAGGTACAGCCCCCAAGTTGAGTCATCTCTGAGCAGCTATGGTAGAGGAGAAGAACAAGGGATATGGACTTGGAAGACAGGCTTAATTCCTTGCCTTAGCATTTACTAACTGAGTAACTTTGGGCAAGGTCATTATCCCCTCTGGACCTCAGTTTCCTAAGCTGTGAAACTGGAGAGGGAGAAACGGGACTGGATGATTCTAAGGTCCCTTCTACCCCTAAATCCCACAATCTTGTGACTTGGGTTCAAATTTGAATTTTGCCATTTCCTGCTATGACTAGCAGCTATTATTTACATGTCACTTTAAGATTTGCAGAGCTCTTTTCAGTATCTCATTTTATCTTCACCACAACCCCTGGAGTTAGAAGCTATTATCATCATCAGCGCCATTTTGCAGATAAGGAAATTGCCTCGGGCAAGTCACTTACCCAAGCTGAAGCTCAGTTTGTTCCCTTTAAGAGTGAGGATAATAATAATGCTTGTACTAATTAACTCTGAAGAATGTTGGAGACAAAAAAGATTGTAAACTTTAAAGCTGTATAGAAATTACAGTGATCCCATGGAGACCACCCTCTCTACAGCTTTAAAGATAAGAAGAAAAATCCCTATACACACCAAGGTATTTCTAGCAGCATTTTTGGTAGCAGCAAAGAACTGGAAACTGAGTTGATGCCTGATTGGGAAATGGCCAAACAAACTGTAATACATGAATGTAAGGGAATATTGCCCTACCTTATAAGAAATGAAGAAGGTAATGAATATAGAGAAAAATGGAAAGAGCTACATGAACTGAGGCAGAGGGAAGTAAGCAGAGCCAAGAAAACAATAATGTAAACAGAAACACACAAAAAAGTGAATGCCACAAAATCACAAAGAAAAATCATGGTTCAAAAGAAGAAATAGGAGAATATGCGACCACTCTACCCTTCTGCAGAGATAAGAAGTCGAAAATTATGGTACATCATACATTTTCAGGCTACTTTAATGTACTGATCAATTATGCTGATTTTCCCCTCTTTTTCTCTTATTTGTCTTTTTCAAAACTATCTATTATATGGGACGGTTCTCTGGAAGGGGAAGGGAGAATGATATTGGGGAAAATTGCGTCAATATAAAAAAGCAAATGATATCAATAAAAACTTAGTTTTAAAAAACTTAGCAATCATTAAAATTATTATTGAATAACTATAGGAGCTGGTGCTAAAGACAAGTTCTTGCTTCATCCCTCAAGAGCTGACTCACTCACTTGTTTATTGGCTACTACAACCACAGGCAGGTCCGGATCTTCTGCCAGCAGCATGTGCAGCTCTTGCCGAGCACAGGGCAGCCGTAGCCGGTCAGCAGAGTCTACCACAAACACCAGCACATCTGCCTGACTCAGGAACTCCTTCCAGTAAAAGCGAAGGTTCTGGCTCCCACCAACTGAGAGGGAGAAACGGAGGGAGAGACAGACAGAAGGATCACCAGGTTAATGGTAGAAAAAGACCCTAGAGATCATCTATTCCAGAGTTCTTAATCTTGTTTTGTGTCCTGGCAGTCTGGTGAAGCCTGTGGACCCCTTCAAAGAATGTTAAATGTATCAACGAAAACACAAAGGAAATCAATTATGTTGAAATACAGTTATAGGGGCAGCTAGGTGGCGCAGTGGCCCTGAAGTCAGGAGGACCTGAGTTCAAATGTGGCCTCAGACCAAACACTTGACACTTACTAGCTGAGTGACCCTGGCCAAGTCACTTAACCCCAATTGTCTAAAAATATAAAAAAAATAAAAATAAAATAAATAAATGAAATATAGTTATTAAAATATTTTTTTTAAAACTTAAAGATCCATTGAAACCTATTCATAGTCCATGGACCCCAAGTTAAGAAACTGATCTGATTCAAATCTTGCATTTGATATATCCAGAAACTGAAACCCAGAGTGGGGAAGGGACTTGAAACAAAAACCCAAAATAGCAGAACCAGGAGTCAAACTCAGTTCTCCGATTCCAAATCAAGAGTTTTCTCCACCACATCCTACTACGTACTGTGAAAAGCATCAAACCATCCTGGTGGCCTTAGAAACTCTCCATTCACTGACCACTTTCTGACCTCTGAGCTAGCATCATCATTTTGCCTAATCTCACTCACACATACTTGTACAACACGCCCATTCCTGCTACTAGTCCCTCACCCTAAAGGTTCCTCTCTCCAGGAAAGCCCTCCTCTCTGCTGAGCAACCTTGCTTGCCTCCTACAGAGACACATCTTTCCCAATTTCCTTAGTTATTGGTGATGCCCATTACAGTAAAGTTACTTTGTATTCTGCATTTACTTACCTGTATATGTGTTTTTTTCTCAGTCGCAGCAGAATGTAAGCTCCTTGAGGGGAGAACCTGGGTTTTTTTTTTCTTTGCATCCCTTATCATAGTGGATAGAAAGCTGGCTTTGAAGCCAGAAAACTTCCCAGGGCTAGTCATTGTCTCCCCAAGAGATAGTTCTATCTATTAGTGTTCTAGACAGCTCTCTTGGATTAAAGGTTGCAGAGGAGGTACCAACCTGCATTGCTAGAGGGAAATTTCCTCACCTGGAAGTTTATGAAATCATAGGTCCATGACTATTCCCAGTGCTGAGTATAGCGCCTGGTGCGTGGTAGGCACCTAATAAATACCTGCTGAATTGAATCAAGGTCATTATCTTGGTTGTTCTCCCACACACCAAGCTCATTTCTAACTCTGTGCCCTTTGCTTGTACAGACCTCCCCTGAGCCTGAAACATCCTTCCTTCTCCCTTCCCATACAAATCCTGTCCACCCTACAGCAACCAACTGGAACCCCACCACCTCCAACAATCCTTTCTCCACTTCTTCAGCCCACTCAGATTTTCCCCCAGCCCACTCAGATTTTCCCCCAGCCCCTATACCTACAGGGCTCAGAGTCTGTACCATATACTCTAGCTTCAAGCATATACAGTAGTGACTTGTATTACTGCTTCATTATTTTGTCTCCCCCAAGAGACAGCTTCCTGAGAAGGGGGAATATTTCTGCTCATCTCTGAAACAAGAGAGGTAGACCAGGTCTCTCATATCCCTTCCATTTGTGACATTTTGTGATTTTATGATTCTTTCTTGTAATAGCTCTGGGCTTGGCAGAATACATACATACATACATATATATATATATATATATATATATATATATGACATATATGTCATTCACAATTTATTTTTTATATATATGACATATATGTCATTAACAATTTATTTTTTACTTCCTGAGTGCCTTATAATTATTTTCCCCCATTCCTTCTCTTGATATGGGCATTGACTATGCCAAGCTCACCCTCTAGCAAATCCATCTGGAAGCTCTCCGTGGGGAGCCGAACAGAGTTGAAACCCCAGGTGGGAGCCATGCGCTCTTTGGCTCCATGGCCGGAGAGGCAGTGGAGGATGGTGCTTTTCCCAGCTCCATCGAGGCCCAGCACCAGGACCTGTCGCTCATCCGGATCCAACTGCAGAGAAAGCAGATGCAGAAACACAGAATCAAAATAGAGAATACAGGCTTTGTATCCTGTGCTCTTTCTTGGGAGACATTAGAGCCCCTAGTCAGCCCTTGGGAAATACCTGACCCTCCCTTGTTGTCTAAGAAAGGATCCCAATTTGAGAAGGCATCATCAACAGTAGCTCTCTACTAAATGCAATGAAAAGGACATTCACACGTTCCAAACACCAACCTTAGGCTCCAAAGGTACCAAGAACAAATCTGTGTGACCCTTCCTTAGCAAAAGAGCTGTGCATTTTCTAAGATCCTTCTTGGACTACGTAGCATTGGTTTGAGAGAGAGGACTTTCCCCTCAAGTCTCCATGGGAATATATCATTTTCTAATTCTGTAATATAAGGGAAAGGCAGGTTCTCCATTTGTTAGCCGGGACAAGCAGGAGACTAGGCATCACCCAGTTTATGGGAACCAAGTGAGAACATTAATGGCTGTGGTATCACAGTATGTAAGTTTGACTCCTGGTTTTGCTTCTTAATATCTGAGCATGCCTTGGGAAGATGAGTCTCCTCATCTGTAAAATGAGGGGAATATAACTAGCCCATACGGAAGGGCCCTTTCAGCTTTAGGAGTATAGATGCTGGAAGTAAGAAAACTAGATTATCATAGGAACTGGCCAGGCCTATAAGACAGGGTAGGGTAAAGACCTTAGAACACACCAAGTAGATAGATTAGGACGCAGGCTAGTACAGCCCGAGGAACAGAAATGCAGACAGAGACACATACAAAAAGTGAGACAAAACTATACACACATGGTTGTGCGCACACACAGATGCACACACGAAATCATAGATGTGTAAGCACAGAGATTCATATAGAGAAACCCAGACTAAGTTGAGTAAGCTAACTAGCTGAGAAAACCCCAAGGTCACTCCATCGCCCACCTGGCGCCCCTCGCCGGCTCTCCTAAGAGGCGGAGATGGGCGGATGATATCTGATCCACCCTGAGTTGGTGCCCAGAGCGTATTGTTCCCCGTATTCTCCAGGGCTCCGTGCCGGGCTCGCTGCCCTCCTCTTGCCTAGCCCAGCTATCCCGCTCACCTCCCCCACGTAGGGGCTCAGCTCCGCTTCCCACCAGGGCCTCCGTCGCCGCCCGCTACCTTCACTGACGTAGGCCTTCCATACAAAGAAGAGCACTGAGCCCAGCACGGCAACAGCACCGCCCAGCAACAGCATAACGTGGGTGAGGGACCGTGGAGCCATGAGGAGGTGCAGCAGGACGCGGAGCCTGAACCCGGGTTTGAGCTGGAGCCAGAGGCAGAAGCAGAGGCAGAGCCTGTGCCCAAGCCAGAGCCCAAGACACCACCCAGACCCCGCAAAATCCCGCCCTGAAGCAGCTGGTTCAGCCCAGCTGTGCGACAGCTGCAGATTCTAACTCCCTCTCCTCCCTCCTCCCCCCGCCTTCTTAAAGGGGACAAGCTCCCTTCCTCGAGCTGGTTTGATTAAGCAAACATCCATCTAAAAGATAGATCTAAAAGATACCCATTGGTATCTGCCCTGGGACCACAGCGTCCTGGTCCCAACATTATATTAGGCAGATCATCTTAAGGGTAGTCCTTCCCTGGACCTCCAGTCTAGCCCCATCCCTCAATGCTTACAAGCCCCAGAATTCACTTCCTGCTGTCGTGATTGGGCTAGCTTCTGGTGCACAATGCCTCCAGTCGCAATAGCAGCTTCAAATTCCTCTGTGCTGAAGGTGGTGCACAACCTAGGAACATAGAATCGGAGCTGAAAGTCCAACTCCTTCGTTTTATATATAAACAATATTATTCCCATTTTATAATTTGGGAAACTGAGGCCCAGAAGAGTGAAGTGACTTGACAAGTAGTACAAACACAGGTATTCCAAGTAGAATATAATAACTCCTTTTTCTATATAGAGCTTTAAAGATTTCAAAGCACTTTCTTTACAACAACTCTATGAGGTTGGGTAGTGTATCATTAGTCCCAATTTATAGAGGAGAAAGTTGTAGTGCAGAAAGAGGAAGTCACTTGCTGAAAGTCACCCAGTAGCATAGTCAGGAATTGAATGCAGGTCTCCTGATTCTGGTCACCTTCTCTTTCTGCAGTAAGTGGCAGCCTTTCTAAAAACCTAAGAAGGCTCTGTGAGTCAGACATGACTCTTACTCTCTTCTTAACTCTTTCCAGTCTGGCTTCTGACTTTATCATTCTGCCAAAACTTTGTTTATCAGAAACTTACTCTCTCTGAAGTTACTAATGATCTTCTGATTTTCAAATTTAATGACTTTTTCTCAGTCCTCATTCTTTTTTACCTTTCTGCAACCTTTGGCCCTGTTGATCACCCTTTTTTGCTTGATACCTTCTTTTCTCTAGGTTTTTATGACACTGCTCTCTCCTGGTTATCCTTCTATCTATCTGCTTGCCCCTTCTCTGTATCCTTTACTGGATCTTCCTCCAGGTCATGCCCACTACCCTTGGGTGTCCCCTAAGGCTCTGACCTGGGTCCTATTCTTGTCTCCTAATGCTATTTCACTTGATGATTTTATCAGCTTTCATGGTTTAAACTATCATCTCTATGTCATCTGATATCTACCTATCCTTTCTCCCTTTCCTTTCTGACCCTTCTCTTTTCAGCACTGGACCACCACTGGACCAGAAGCATCTAGGAAGCTCACCAAACCCAAAAGGCCAGAGATATGAATCACCATGTTCTTGGAGTCTCTGTACATTTCTAGGGAAGTTTTGGATACATGCTTTCTGAAATGGCTCTTCAGGCCAATTCAACTTTGAATTAAATTTAATATTGAAATGGTAAACTAAAGGGTCAAGAGAAACAGAAGAGAAGAGAGGAATTTGAAGAGAGGAATAAGAGGCTTAAACAGGAATGATAGACTAGGAAAGCAGAATGTAATGAATAAATTGGAGGTTGCAATTAGGATGAAGTTTTGGTTTAATAAGATAAGGTACAAAAAGAGATAAAAGAAAGGATGCATTTTTAAAAATTTCCTTTTTGTTATAAACTTAATAATCAACAATATTTCAACATACTAAAAAGAGGATTGAATATGAAACTGTAAACTTGAACTACATAGCTTGTAAAGGTATGTATTCAATTTTTAAAAGGTAATAACAAAACTGCCCTGTTTGTAGGAGATGAGCAATTTCAGAATTATGGATTATAGAAGCAGAACACTTCTGAGTGATGATGATCAGATTAAGAAAAAATAGTAGCTGTGTGTCTATGACTCCGAGAGGAAAGTGGGGATGGGGAAAGGTTTCTCAATTCCAGCCTCTGGCTCAGTCTGAATCTTATAGCAAGAAAAACTAGGTCTAGAATCCCAAATCAGAGGAGACTCTATAGTTCGGTCACTCTGAATCAACAGAACTTTTCAGTTGGCTGATATTAAGTCTAGCATCTCTCTACTGGAACTCCAATGTGGGGTAAGACCTGAGGTATGTTACTCAGCCCCAAAAGATTAGACCAGAAAGTCAACAATCACAATCAAACTTTACCCTGAATCAGACCATTTCAGCAGCACTAAAAGCTAGCCTGTTCTTGAAATCCTGTAATACATAACACTTAATACCCCAAGAAAGATCAGACATTCCCTCCAGAAGTTCACATAGCCTAGCACTATCTTAAAGTCTGAAGTCAGGAAGTAGGCTGGAAGATTGAAAAAATAAAAAAAAAATCCCACCATGAAAAGCTATTATGATGACAGGAACAATCAATATACAAAATCCAGAGGAAGAGAATGAGTCAAAAATATCTATGAGCAAAGCCTCAAAAGAAAACACAGCTTGGTTACAAGTTTAACTAGAATTCCTAGAAGAGATGAAGCCAGAGTTTAAGAAAAAAAGAATTTAAAAAGTTTTTATAAATGAAATAAGAGTGCTTGTGGAAAAAAATGAAAAGAAATGAGAATTACGGAAGAAAGACTTAGAAAGGGAATTAACAACTTGGCACAAGAAAAACTTTGCCTAAGAAACAAAGCTATCACTCTTTGCAGATGACATGATGATATACTTAGAGAATCCTAGAGAATCAAGTGAAAAACTACTTGAAATAATAAACAACTTTAGCAAAGTTGCAGGCTACAAAATAAACCCACATAAATCATCAGCATTTCTATATATTACCAACAAAGCCCAATAGCAAGAGATAGAAAAAGAAATTCCATTTAAACTTATTGTAGACATTATGAAATATTTAGGAGTCTACCTCCTGAAACAAACCCAGGAACTCTATGAACACAATTACAAAACACTTTTCACACAAATAAAATCAGATCTAAATAATTGGAAAAACATCAGTTGCTCATGGGTAGGCTGAGCTAATATAAAAAAATGACAATTAAGCTAATTTACTTATTCAGTGCCATACCCATCAAACTACCAAAATATTATTTTACAGAGTTAGAAAAAATAATAACAAGATTCATTTGGAAGAACAAAAGGTCCAGAATATCAAAGGAACTAATGAAAAGAAATGCAGGGGAAGGTGGCCTAGCAATTCCAGATCTTAAATTGTATTATAAAGCAGCAATCATCAAAACTGCTTGGTACTGGCTAAGAAATAGGGAGGTGGATCAGTGGAATATGTTAAATATGCAAGACACAGTAGTCAATGACTATAGTAATCTATTATTTGACAAACCCAAAGACCCCAGCTACTGGGATAAGAGCTCACTATTTGAAAAAAACTATTGGGAAAACTGCGAAAGAGTATGGCAGAAACTAGGCATAGATCCAAATCTCACACCATATATGAGAATAAAGTCAAAATGGGTTCATGATTTATATATAAAGGCTGATACTATAAGCAAACTGGGAGAAGAAGGAATAGTTTGTCTATCAGATCTATGGAGAACAGAAGAAATCATGACCAAACAGGAGATATAGAACATTACGACAAGCACAATAGATAATTTTGATTACATTAAATTGAAAAGTTTTTGCACAAACAAAGGCAATGCAACTAAGATTAGAAGGAAGGTAGAAAATTGGGAAAGAACTTTTACAACCAGTCTCTCTGATAAGGGCCTCATTTCTAAAATACGTAGAGAATTAAGACAAATTTATAAGACTACAAGCCATTCCCCAATTGATAAATGGTCAAAGGATGTGAACAGATAGTTCTCAGATGAAGAAATTAAAGCCATCTATAGTCATATGAAAAAATGCTCTAAATCATTATCGATTAGAGAAATGCAAATCAAAACAACTCTGAGGTACCACATTACACCTATCAGACTGGCCAACATGTCAAAACAGGAAAATGATAAATGTTGGAGAAAATGTGGGAAAATTGGAACACTAATACATTGTTGGTGGAGTTGTGAAATGATCCAACCATTTTGGAGAACAATTTGGAACTATGCCCAAAGGGCTATAAAAATGTGCATACCCTTTGACCCAGCAATAGCACTTCTAGGGCTGTATCCCAAAGAGATCATACAAATGGGAAAAGGACCCACATGTACAAAAATATACATAGCAGCTCTTTTTGTGGTGCCAAGGAATTGGGAATTGAGAGGATGCCCGTCCCATTGGGGAATGGCTAAGCAAGTTGTGGTATATGAATGTAATGAAATACTATTGTACTATAAGAAATGATGAAGAGGCTGACTTCAGAAAAACCTGGAAAGACTTATATGGTCTGATGCTGAGTGAAGTGAGCAGAACCAAGAGAACATTGTACACAGTAACAGCCATGTTGTGCAATGACTAATATTGATAAACTTAACCCTTCTCATCAGTACAAGGATATAAGACATCCCCAGAGGCCTCATGATGGAAAATGCTATCCACATCCAAAGAAAGAACTATGAAAGTTTGCCGCAGACGCCTGCATCTGCAACTGTGTTTAAATGCCGGTCGAGTATGACAGAGATAAAGAAATATGGGGGCCAGGTGGGTAGCAAGTAAAGAACAGGCTCCATTTATTAATCTGAGGGCTAGGGTTTTTATACTTTACTCGTGGGAACAGCACCCAGAGTAGCAAAGGCAATAGTATCAACAATTATTTTTCTCATGGGAATAGTAACCAGGGGGAGTCCCCCCCTGAACAGTTTCCTTGCCTCTTGTAATCTTCAAGGTCCTTCTGTTTTCAAGAGAGACAGAGCAGGAGGGGGTTGGAGAGCCCACGTATCTGACTTAGGCAGCCATCGGACAGAGGACACACAACAGGTAAAACCTGGCATGGCCTGAATCCTCTGACTTGTCGGTGCTGGCCCTCGACAGAAGTTGAATTGCTATCATTTTTTTTTCTCTTCTGTTGAGTTTTATTTCCTCTTTCTAATGGTTCCTCTTATTGGTTTTAATTTTTACTTACAACTTCACTAATGTGAAAATATGTTTAATAGGAATGTAAATGTATAGCCTATATGAGATTGTGCACTGTCTT